CATGAATAACATACGCGTATGTCCTGTGAATCGGAAGCAATGCAAAATGAAAGACAGGAAGTATTGCTACAAGTATTTCTTTCGATTTGAGCGGAAGGGCTAAATTTATTTCCAATGTAAGCACAGTTGGAAGAATTGAAAAGGAGAATGCCCAAAAACTGGCTATTGGCGTCCATCAATGACATTGGTATCGTTCGATAGATCTTGCCCAAAGATCTATCGAACACAAGTTTTAATGGTCATAACTCGATTGGCGCAGGTCAAGAATTGTAGAACAAAGCCGGAAAAAATTTTTTTTTACATAATAAATGAATAAAAGGGAGCAAAAATATAAGAAAAAGGAACAATAAAAAATAAGGAATAAAAGCAATATAAATTTAGTTAACTTTGATCATATTTTAACTGCAGTATGCAAAATGTTCAAGGACTAGGTGACTGAACAGCATGTTCCGACCCTGAACACCATAAAAGATTCATTAACTTCAATCTGCTCTGCTGCGAAAACTATTTGTCGGGCGCAATGTTGCCGAGGAAAAAAGTTGTTTTTTTTTTTTAGCAAAAGAAATCACATCTTGCACTCCACATACGGGACACCCTGTCGAATTTTATTGTATTATTACAATAAAATGATGCCATTCCGCCATAAGGTTTTGAGCATTATTATTTCTATGCTGCGAGGCAACAAAGTAAAAATTGGAAAGCGGAAATTCCCAAGATGAGATTATACTATATGTGTATTTACGTCACAGATTTGTCATATTATTTTTTTCCTTTATGAATCATAAAGTACATGTATCAAGGTATCTACGGTATATCGTCATATAGATTAAGATCTAGAGGACAGATTATTTCGTGGTAAACATTAACGGGTTCAAGCCGATGATAGCCAAAGGGATCGACATTCCTTTTAGTTCTATATAATACAAAACAAGTTCACGGAAATTAATTTTTGTTTGATCGGTTGTGTTTAATTGCGTCGAATTTAATGGAGAGTTGAGAGAATACTGTGAAAGGAAAGCAGCAAAACAGAGATTAGCCAGTAATACATATCGGCGGCGAGAATATAGGAAATGCATTATCACGATGTATTTAATTTAACTACAATCTTGCAAAAGATTAATTTACAGCCATAATAGTGATAAGTAAAAGGCCACTGTATCTTCCGTTAATCAATTTTGATTGATTTTTGAACGTAGAAAAATTTGAACGCTAAATATTATCTTACTTATGACTCCCGTAATTATAAAATAATGATTTGCGGAACGTGAAACTCTTCAAATACCGGGTTGTCCCGCAATATACTTCGTAAGCTGTAAATATACTGGATTTTGCTTCATGAGACATCCGATAAGAACGATAAAATTCATTATCTAATGATAAGTCGATTTATCGGCGAGTTTAACGAGTATTATACTTCGTAAATCATTTAATTTCGATTTTGTGAAACGCGTTTTTATCCATTCGGTGAATTCTTTTCATAATGCATGTTTACATAGTTACATTACTACAATGTTCTGCGAAATGTTATCAGACATTTTGTTTTAATTTTATTTGTTGTTGTTTCAGATAATATTTGAAACTTTTATACTGGAAATGTCTTTTAGATTTTTACAATTAATATTTTTCGACTAAGCCTCAATTCCGCACATAAGTAACCGATCAGACACGATAATGTAATCGCAAGCATACGATGTCCAATCGGTTATGTGCGCAATCGGGACAATCTTATATTTTTCACTCAAGTAAACTAAAAAAATTCCGGTATGCCGCCATAAAGAGACTGGATTATGCGTTCGCACGTCATGAATGCAATTGCAAAGTACTTTAATTCTCGACAGACGAATTTGCAAAGGAGAAAATTATGCAAATACATACGCAGTCCACTGTTTTATCCATACGAGACCGGGATAACCCGAACAAACTTTCCCAGGGATTGCTTCTCAACGGAGCAACGCTTCAGGATTGTCACAGGATTCCTGGTAGGTACTGGAACTTTAAGCTTGCCATAGAGTATAATGGCGTTCGAGCTTCTTCATTATGCAGGCCAATCATGACTGCAACTTCCTTCAAGTCATCCGCCGTGTCAGCCTTTCAATTATACATATAGCTCACCGTTTTGCTCAGTCTATAGTATTCTTACTACTTGCATTTACAATGTTTTTTATGCTATCTACATACATTAACTATTATAAAAATTGATACACTTTTTTTAATTATCTGTATTAATTTTTTAATTCTAAAATATTTAAAATTAATATTAAAAATAGTAAAACACCGAATTACTAGTTAATTAATTATTATAATATTTATTATAATTCTTGTAGGTTGAGAAATGGATAACAGAATAATTAAAATAGAAAGCAACAATAGAATTTTTCCTGATAAAAGAAAACAACTTTTTAATATAATTTCATTACCTCCATTAATACCAGGATAATTTATTAAAATGTCAGAACAAATTTATTGTTCCACAAGATCTTTTTTTAGTTATATTAGAGAAAAGGAAAGTATTAATGTTATAATACATGCAAAAAATGTCTATTAAATTCTTTGTCTCCTCCTCTGGCTTAACCTCTCTTTTTTTTAAAAAACACAAACGTATATTTATCTTATGCTTAGATTTTCAACTTTCGTATAATTTGCGATACAGTTATTTATTGCTATGCGTTCTACTTCTTGAAGCAAAATAAATGTTTGCACAAAGATTACATATCGCGTCGTATCAAAAGACCGTAGCACTCAATGTTAGTTCCACTGCCTATAATTGTCAAGATATTTATTGAAAAATATTATCAAGTGATAATATAATGCAATATCAATACGAGCTTTATTGTATTATAAAGGTAAAGAATCATCTTTGTTCTACGAAAAAAAAAGCGTCAAAAAACTGTTTATGAGAAAGCTTCATATTCATTCGAAAGGCCTCGCTAATTGTATTAATATAAGGTCGCCCCCGCTTTACCTTTATGTAGACCCCGATAGGAAAATGTCTCAAATTGTGTCACGTTTCAGCGCGTCAAAATTAAAAATCTCGTCCGTTTTTCGGTCAACACAAATGCTTTACCGGGGATTGGACTTAATAGTGTGAGTTAATTAAATTCTGGACCAATAAGACAACGTATTTCATAGATTAAATCATGAGGATCAGTTCTATCAACTAATTTATACCTTTAATAAAGAAAAAAGACTCAACGGTAACTATAATTTATGACGAGGGCGCCTCTTTTAAATGCAAAGTCAGAACTTATATTTCCACAATATATTATTATATGTATAATATAAATATGTTTTCACATATTAAAATAGTGAGAAATACTAAAAGATATAAATACACAAATTTTATTTAATACATATCTTTTCAAGTTTTTTTCTTCTTTTCTACACGAATTGCCTGTCAAAATTAAAGGTGGATTTTAACATTTGCAAAAAATATCTACGTTGTCTCTTCTATAAAAAAAATAACAAAAGACTTTCTATCTTCTTAATCACTAATTTCAACAAAGGGGCTGCAAAATATTTTAGTTTCCTTTTCTTTTTAAATGTTTTCTATAAATAAGTTATAACTAGAGACCTCCAACCAAACTTAATCGCTTAGATTTCCAATTTCCAAGGTGTATAGAACGTAGGTAAACCTCAACGCAGCCTAAAGGCAAGACATGTAGCCTACAGCAATTATATGCAAATCTCAGCAAGTTGTGCCTAAAACCTCAACATTGTCACTAACTACCTTCTCGTCTAAATGAGAAACGATACAAATAAAATCCATAGGTCGGTACACAAAGCAAGAAATTTAACGCATCAGAGAAATAAAATGCATATTAGAGGCAGAAATTTATATTTATATTAATAGCCGGCTTCGCTCGGGTCTCTTTTCTCTTGAATCACCGTTTTTTGAATATCATTCTTGTTCATTATCTTTTTTAAATTCTCTTTATACATATCTTAATTCTATTTAAATTTGTTTTATTTTTACTATCTCTATATTTCTCTATCTCATTTTCATTATCACCATTATTTAAATTCATTTTAATTAAATATCAAACTTTATGTCTTCAAAATTATGGGTTTTTTATCTATACCTGATAAAATCTAATATAAATCTATAAAATCTAATAATACAATTTATTGCGAAAAATATTACCTCGGCCAGGGTTTGAATCTGCACTTCCCTTCTCTCTAGGCGGGCGTCTCATCAATTCGACCACCCTGGCTGAGGTAATATTTTTCTCAATAAATTTCCTGCATTAAAACACTGGCCGGTTAATGTCGACTAAAAAGCTTGATTATTTTTATCTATCACTGGCAGCTTAAAGAGATGTCTATGTTTTAATCTATATAAGTGTAGAGTTGTGAATCTCATTTCGTCTCGGTGGCTATACTGCCAATTATTATACGAACGGCTTATAAATAATAAGTTTCTCCAAAATTGTAGATATTTCCTTGAAAAGGACCACAATCCAGGCGGTCGAAACGTTGGAATAAATTGTTAAATTAAATCACCCAGCCAGTTTAAAGCCGTCAAATAATTTTTCTTCCTGTTGTTAATCAATTACTGGCAACAATAATATTCTTCTTGTTACTCTGTATATAAATTCACATGTAATATTAAATTTTATATTATATTAAAAAGTAGTTCTCAGTAGAGAGCTAGATTGTTCAGAACTTAATCGGATTAATTCCACTTGATAAGAAATAGAAATACCTTCTCTTGTCTAGATTAATCTCATGATCTCAAACATTTCAGCTTATAGATAATTATTTAATATAGACAACTCTTTGTCTCTCTATCTTTTTCCATATCTTGCATTTCTTATTTTATCAATTGCTATAATATCAAAATCAATAAAAATACGTCCCATTGGTTTCATATTGAAACTTGTTATCACCATTGTCCTGAGACAGACAAATATTATCTTATTACATTCTTGATTGAGATCAATGACACAATCTACTTGTGAAAGAGAGAGAGAGATCGTTACTACGACAAATAATATAATAACTACGCAGTAATTTCACATAGCATATAGTCTTAAGTCGACAACGAAGCGTAAACATTGCTGGGCGTTGTGTTGTGTAATTAGATCTTCCGTGAACTTTAATTCCATGAACCCAATTGCAATAAGTTATTAAAAAAGTATTAGTATTGTGTGAGAGTATCAGTAAGAATAGTACTGATTATTCTAGACGCGTGCGCGAACGTGGCCGTATGTGCGTGCGCGGGCACGCATGTGTATGTGTTCTTTGGTTTATCTATCTCATTGTCAAGTGTATTATAACGTAAAGTGATATCTTTCCGCGAATTTCATACAAGCCAAAGAAATTGATTAATGAGATTTTTTAAAATCGCTTGAACAAATCCGTTTCCTGCGCCGACAGAATTATCATGTCTAATCACTCTCCATTATTTCTGTTTATATTAATGATTTTTATCGCTTTTGCGAGTTTGACGTTTGCGTGTAATAATGAAAATTCGCACGACGTTTCCGCGCGGTATCGATTACCTAAGAACATCGTTCCTATATCCTACGACCTATCGATCTACACGCATCCCGTCGACGCGGATTACAATGGTCACGTACGGATCATCTTGCGAGTGCTCGAGAAAACAGATTTCATCGTGCTGCACGTGGATGCATTAAGAATACAAGCAAATGCATCTTTATCGGATAGATCGGGTCGGTTGACTCGGATTTTGCGTTACACTCACGACGAAGGAACACACATGCTTACGATTAAACTCGAGCGTGCACTAAGTCCTGCACAATACACGTTAGAAGTATCCTTCAAAGGACGCATCGCAAATGATGTATTCGGCTTTTACGCAAGTCTGTACGAAGTTGATGGCAAACTGAGGTAATATTCTGAGAGGAAACTGTTATATGTCCTATACTTTAGAGCTACGCGCCAAGTTGTCGCAGTAAAATCCGAACGGAACGATACTATAAGTGTATAGGTACACCCTGATATGTTGAGCATGAAAGTGTTACAGATTCTCTCAAAACTAACTATATATATATATATATATATCTTTTTAACACACACACACACACACATAAAATAATATAATATTAGTTTAATATTTCTCGCGTTATTTCTAATAAAACTTAATTATATGAAATTTTATTAATTAATTTTTAAATTTCTTATACTTCAATTATAGCTTAATAGAAAGTGACAAAGCAATTATTTATAGATATTTGTAATAATAAAAATAAATTTTAACATTATTGTCATTTCTTCTGCCGATTGAATTTTTTTAGACGAATTGGCGTAACGCAATTTTCACCCACATACGCACGTCGCGCATTCCCTTGTATGGACGAGCCGTATTTGAAAGCGGAATTCCAATTGCATATTGGCCACCATAAGGACCAAAAAGCGACGAGCAATACTCCAGTGGAGTCGATACGAACAGAGTTAGTACACTTTTTCGAGCCTTATCAAACTAAGAAATATATACAAAAATACATGAAAGGCAGAATAAACAAAAAAAAATGTACGGTCTAGCAAACAATAATTGCAAAAAATTACAGAAATGATACCTACCACGTGACCACATTTCGCCGCACGCCGCGAATTTCCACATACTTGGTAGGATGGACGGTTCATAATTTTGTCGTGGAACGATCAAGGATTTCGGAGGACTTCAAGATGTGGACGCGAGACTCCATGAAGCTTCGCGGATCGACAGCCTTGAATCGCGGTCAGGCGGTTTACTCGGCGCTGCAGACGTGGCTGGTGGTGAAAAGCCCGCTCGTGAAGGTCGATCAATTCGCAATACCGGATTTCAATTTCAACGCGATGGAAAATTGGGGCCTCATCACTTACCGAGAGTCCGTAGTGCTGCACGAGCACGGGACTCCGACGAGAAAATTGGTGGATGGACTCTCAACGATGGCTCATGAATACGCTCACAGTTGGTTCGGCAATCTGGTGACGCCCGAATTTTGGGACGTCGTCTGGTTGAAGGAGGGCTTCGCCACGTATTTCCAATACTTTGGCGTGTCTTTGGCGGAACCGGATCTGAGAATGATGAATGTATTCGTAGTAGATTGCCTGCAGCCAACATTACTCGCAGATTCCGACAATCATACGCGCACATTAAACGGCCGAGAGGTCGGGAGCCGCGATAGCATTATGGCTACGTTGGATTTCGTCTCTTATAAAAAAGGTACATATTATAATACATCATGCATAATCATTTATTTCCGTGAATTTGACAAGACAGTTGTTAAATTTTAAAATAAATTGAGGAGAGGTAAAAAATTCTCCACATATATTTTATAAATCTGATTTATATTCGATCGGCTTCAAATCTGTTATACGTACAGTCATCCGTTTCTTACGCAATCCATTGATCATATCGCTGTACGTGTAACGATTCCACAAAAACAGATAGAGCTATCTCGCGCGATTATGTGATAATTTATTCTTACGAATGACTATTTATTTAAATCGCACATACGTATGTAAGAAATTATTTATTGGCAGATTTAATTTTTAATATTTTATCTTTGATATTGCACGTTGCTCTCGTTTTGTTAGTAACTTTAATTGTCCACCTATCTGCTTCATTTTTTAAATTATGATTTACACAAAATCGAATTTTGGAACAAAACAGCGCGTTACAAAATAGACTTAAAGTGCTTATTTTCAAGAATACGTAACCAGAAATATTCAGGATGATCGCTATCTAGTTTTTTTCACATTTGTCTGCTAATAAATCAACTTATAACTTGACCATTTTTTCATTGACATTGTTTATTTTAACAATAATTTTATTATTACGTTACAAAAACTGTTACATTTGTTGGAAAGGGGAAAGAAGTGATCGATTCGAAATCGAAATGTCGATGATTGGAAATCATCGAATTATTAATATTCAAATCTCTTTGATTAAAAAAAATCGAGTCAAACCTTTAGTGATTCGATTTGATTCAAATTCGAGGCAATTTGCACATCTCTAATTATTATATGAGTGTCTCAGATGTCAAAGTTATAATGTTCGACTCTATAAAATAAAAAAGTAGAAGAAATTAATATAGTTACAAACTGAACATACTTTATGCTTTTACTAAAATTAAGAAAAAAATTCATAAAAGATATAATTAAACTGTTGGGCTTCTGAAAGATTCGTACAACGCGCTATGACATAATGAAAATAGTTTGTAATATTATCATATTGTTTTCAGGTGCATCCATAATTCGCATGATTAATCATACTATTGGAAGTATAGCATTCCAATTAGGTCTACAAAATTATTTGCGCGAGATGTAGGTATCTGTACCATACACGCAAAACGTTTCAAAATTTTTATCCCTGATGAATCGATTTAACGAAAACGCACAGTGACATCACTTTGCTCTTCGTTTTTGCATTAACACTCTTTCCATTATAAAAATGAAAACGGGCGCTGTACATATTTAATTAAAATTTTTTTATAATTTATTTAAAATGATATAAATTTACTATTAAATCTTATTTCACCATTTTAAGTAAAAATATGAATTGATTACTAAATATATTAATTTTTATTAGGTCGTATCAAGCAGCCACTCCATCTGACTTATATCGACACTTGCAAACTGCATTAAATAAATCAGAGCAATTATACAGACAAATATCTATAAAAGACATTGTAGAATCCTGGGCAAACCAGCCAGGATATCCTTTGGTGATCATTACGCGAAATTATACGACGAAGACCCTCTTTGCCTCGCAAGAACGATTTTATCTCAACCGTCAAGCAGAGCAATTAGATTCCGAAAAATCGGGTTGGTGGATACCGTTAACCTTCGTTACCGAAAAATCGAATTCCGTATCTGATCGAACCACTACGGCTGTCTGGTTGAAGCCACAGGACAAGAGCACGATAATTGGTTCAGTCGAGACGAATTCCTGGGTGATTTGTAATATCCAGCAAATTGGATATTATAGAGTCAATTATGATAAGAATAATTGGGAAATGCTTACTCATTACTTAAAGTTGAAGAATTTCAAGAAAATACATGTGATAAATAGGGCTGCACTTCTAGATGACGCCTTTAATCTAGCTAGAGCCGGTTACGTGGACTATTCCATTCCATTTACTCTTGCGAGATATCTCACTCGCGAAACCGATTATGAACCATGGGTTGCTGCGGTAAATAATTTCAATTTTCTCAATCACGTTTTAGCCTGTTCACCGCGTGTACAACGACTTTTTCAGGTAAGTGATTATGTTTCTAATGCAAGCAATGAATCGATTTTAAAATTTAATTAATTAATTAAATATTTGAAAAGTATACAGCAATATTTTATTTATATTATAACTTTATTATAAACGAAGTTAACATATTATATTATATATATAACATATATAATATATCCTGTTTTTAAATGCTTATATCTATTTACTCTTTTTTATAGTTTCACAAGACATAATAAGAATACACAATTAAAGACAACATTAATACATACGTTTGTACGTTTTCCCACGAATTAAGATTTTAATTATGTTGTCTAGTAAATTATTTTTTTATTGCAAATCATTAACTACAGAAGCTGATGACAGCTTTTGATGATTTCTTTTTAATAAAACTTTGATGTAATTTGCAGAATTATGCAAATCGCTTGCTTAAACCAATATACGGTCTATTAAGCTTTGTGGAAAATTCCGTGGACAGTTCAATAGCGAAACTCCATCGCGAATTGATTCTATCTACTGCATGCTCGGTCAACAACGTCCACTGTTTAAAGACATCAAAAGCTCTATTTAATTCGTGGATTTTATCTGAGAAAAGGTACGATCAATCACTAGCAAGGTTCTGAACCCAATACGATTTTTTATATTTGCAATGTTAATATTTTTAGCTAAAGCTTAAATCGGGATATTAAAAAGTAAAATACAAGCATAACACTGTTCTCGTTAACTTAGCCAACGTTTCTAATATTTTATCTTTCGATTTTTGTAAAATAGATTTTATCTTCGGGAAAGATAATTGATTAATTAATACACAATAATATATTTTAAAGTATACTTTATGTATAATATATATCTACATATACAGCACAATACCAGCAAATCTCAAGAGTTTCGTGTATTGCGTGGGCATTCGCACGGGCAATGATAATGATTGGCACACAGTTTGGAAGAGATTTCTGCGCACTGACTTACATGCAGAGCAGGAACTCTTACTGAGTGCACTCGGATGTACTAAAACTCCTTATTTAATCGACAGGTGAATTCTAAGAATCGGATCGTACAGATAAACGTGTTTAAAATCAGATACTGAATTTGTCGATTTTCAGATATCTCAGTACGTCCATGACACATGAACTCAAACTTCGCAAACAATACAGGATGACAATAGTCAATGCCGTTTTAAATGGCAATCCCGAAAACGTTATTTATGTCATTCGTTTTATTTACAATAATTTGCATACAATTCTTGAACTGTATGTATTTTGTCATGTTATTTTCTTTATTTCATTAGTCATGTTTTTTACCACACAAGTTTATATCTTATTGTCTTTATTATACATTAAATTATTTTAAAACTTGGCATTTGAGAACCAAGATAGTATTTTCGTTTATTATATTATTTCATTAAAATTACAACTATCATATTATGTATATTATTCCTATCGAAAAAGTTTTATCAGAAAATAAATTTTCGTGAAAAGATTTTTAATACAATTAAAATTTATTACTTAATTATATGCGTTAGACTTGCAATATTAATTCTCGCATTCACAAAGCGAATCTTGCAATATTTTATACTTATGTTTACAGGAGAGGAATAGATTTCTTAACCAAAATACTTACTGCTATAGGCGATAAAGTTATTACGGAAATTCAATTAAACCAGGTATAATTCATACGTATTATTTAATTTAATATGTAATTTATTTTTCTTACATTCTAATGATACTCAAACTAACTTATTAAAATTCATTTCACCAACTCAGTGAAATATTTATAATGTTACAGCTTCGCTTATTTGTGGATGAAAACATTGAACACTTAGGGTCAGCATTGAATTCAGCAAAGAAAGCCATAACTGTGTCTACTTTATCCGTAAAATGGATCAATAAATTTTTACCTGCTATCGAAAAATCATTGTTATTTAATTAGTTATATAATAAAGATACTCTATGATATCTATATGTGTTTTTACAATAATATATTATGTAACTAATAATATATGTCTTATTATATGTAAATTGTATCTACATACACAAGGAAATAAAGAAATATTCCTTAAAAAATTACGATGCTTCTCGGCACTAATACTTCTCCGCCCTGGAAAAAAGTAAGTTTATTAAATATATTATTTATGGAAAGTAATAATAATTATTTTATTATCTAATTAAATATTTTAATATTAATTCCCTGAGTGACATGAAAAATATTATTTTACATTATAATTCAAGATTGGACAAGATATTTTCGTCACGTAATTTTTTCTTATATAAAAATTGAATCAATTTGTATAAATATTTTATATACTTTTGTCTTCATTCTATATATTTATGATAATCATCTCTAATATTAATGTATTCGTTACGTATATTTGTTTCAATTTTTTACAACACATTTTATGATTAAATCAAGTTTTAGATAGCAACAACTTTTTTTTCTCTACGACATATATTTAGTATAACTCTATGATTACATTTGTATTTCTGTTTTATTAACGCTATAAAGAAACGCAAACTTAACACGACCACCTTTTTACGTTACGTTACAATACGTTTACATTACGTTAAACAGTTTTTTTTTGGCGAATCTATATCACGTGTGTATGCTTTGCAAACGATATCCTAAATGGATCAATCAGTTTTTATCTCGGTCTGCGTAAATATATCGTAGATAATAGAAAAAAGGTTAACATAAAATCGTACTTTATGAGAATATGCGTATATTGTTATATATAACTGTGAGAAGAATTATATCATTACATTTATAATTTTATATTTTAACTTTGGTAACAGAAAAATGATCGGAGAAAGTCAGAAAAATATGGTACGTATACGAATACAAGTATATACTTGTTTAGGCTAAAAAGTTGAAATTACAATTTTTTTTGGAGAAAAGAGATTTCCGAAAGACATTATAAACTTGCAAAAAGTCACAAGTTTCTTGAAAATCATATCTAATCAAGATCCTTACAAATCATCCCAATTTTTGGTTAATTAAAAGTGGTTTAATGTTGCAGGAGTGCGTTTGAAATAAAATAAATTTATATTTATTCTAATCTTATAATGCCGTGAGTGGGGTGGGCGGCGTGCGCGCGCGCGCGTGTGTGTGAAGCTTCTTTTAAATAAGACTAGCCTTATCTTTCGTAAATTCTTTTATCTTTCTTAATTAACACATGATAATCGTACCATTTAAATATCAAGAAAAAGAATAAAAAGTACTTTAAAGAATTCATACAGATGTTTCCAGATTACGATAACCTGGCTTGGCTGGAATTGATTCGATACAAAATACAAAATAGTAGCGTTACAAGCTCTTGGCAAATCGCTGTAGCATATTGCTTAAGCAAAACCATTCGATATATTCTGAAAGATATGATAAAAAGTTAAATCTCTGACATGATATCTCTGGCTGTGTCTGCTATTGATTGGTCGGATAACATTGTATTTTAGTTATCGCGTTATCAGCGGTGTTGGCTAAAACTGTCCCGGAAATTTTGCGTGTCAGGTTCTGATGGTCCACTTACCTCTCTTACCTCGAAGAGTGTAATACTTGTAAGAGAACCTGACGATAAGATTAAAAGTGGCCGCGACAGTTTTTTAACGACACGTTCTACCGTCACGGTCTTATAAGACCCGAAATTTTGATCAGGCAGTCTTTCATCAATTTCGCCTCTGCGGCGACGAGGGACCGACCCGCACGGCTCTCCATCTTTGATTAGCTTTAAGGTATGTCAGTTAGTCATTGATCGCAATTTTTTTTAAATAAATAAATTATTCTAAATAAAAATAATATTTTTATAATTATTATTGAGAAATAAAAATAAAATTTATAATCTAAAAAGTTAATAATTTAAGTGTACATGTCCTTATCGACAAATTATATATTTTACAGCAACATTCAATTTGTACTCTTCTCTTATCAAATTCTCGCTTTAAACAACTCAAAAATAAATGTTATATTATTCATACATTTCAAGATTGTTGTCTGTTATATAAATATTGATTTAAATATTTTCTGTAAACTAATAAAGCTTAATAATTATTTGTGTAAAATATTTTTTTAATTATTTTTTTCTTGGACCATTTGTATGGAGACGTCTACTGTACATGTTATCACTATTGATTGTATTATATTAATTAATTATATATTATATTAATTATGTATTGCATGATCTTATATATTACTTTCTTATACTTGTAGTAATATATTGGATCCCTAAATTCACATAAAATTTTTCCACTTACATAGGTACAATGTTAACGATGAGATCCTTGTTGTCATTGCTGCTTCTTCTAGCAGCTTGCTGGGCAAGCGATCCTACTTATGATGACGTACCTCCTCAGTTTATTCAAGAAAGTGTAGACAACTATAGATTACCAAGCGATGTCATACCTATTGAATATAACATCAAATTGGTGCCAACTTTCGAGTCCGAAAAGGACAATTTTACTTTCGAAGGAAATTCTGAGATCACTCTGGAGATTAAGAAACTTACACATACCATAACGTTCCATGCTAAAGACCTTACATTTTTTGAAAATGGCATTTTGTTAAAATACGGCTCAGAAGGAAAACCTCTGACACCAAAATTGACGACGGATCTGCAAAAAGACTTTGTGATACTCACTTTTGACGAAGAACTTGTAACAACAAAAAATGCAAAATTATCTTTACATTACAAGGGAAAATTAAATGAAGAATTACGTGGATTCTACAAAAGTTCTTACCAGACTAAAGAAGGAAAAACGAAGTAAGACATAAATTTCTATTCTAATTTTCGCTAAAAATTGTTAAATTTGTTTAAGGCTAAATATTTTATATTATACGTCCAACTTTATCATCAACTTAGGATTTTCAATTATTATTATTTTGTCAGTTGTACGTGAAATGATTAGATCAAGATCATTAAAAAAAAGACCGTTAATTATAAATTGAAGTAATTTGAGACAACCTTCCAGTTTTCTAATTAAAATAATTGTTTCGCTTTCTTTAAAAATTTTCTTTAAAATTTTCTGTCAGTCGAATGATTAATTCCTTATGTTAATTCACAATGAATGATTCCTTTGGAAACAAATAATGTCATTTTAATCAAATGCAAGAAATAGTAAATTATTCGTAATAATAGAATTATTTATACATCGCAGGTGGCTTGCAACGACTCAGTTTGAACCAGTAAACGCACGACAGGCCTTCCCGTGCTGGGACGAACCACAATTAAAAGCACACTTTACCATTACTATTACAGTCCCTGCAAATCAGGATTACAAAGCAATTTCAAACATGCTTGGAACAACTACGAAAGAAACAACGATTTTCAAGAAGACACCAAAAATGTCCACTTACCTTGTGGCTTTTGTAGTTTCGGATTTTGCGGCCCTATCGAACGAGAAAGGTACTTTTAGCGTTTTGGCGAAACCTACGGTAGATAACAGCTCGAAGTCCTTCGCATTTGAATACGGACAGAAAGCGTTGGAGGAACTAAATAATTTTACTAACATCGATTATTACGGAACTGAGATGCAAATGGACAAGCTGGATCAAATTGCAATACCAGATTTCGCGGCTGGTGCTATGGAAAATTGGGGCCTTGTGACGTACAGGTAATCTCGGTCAAAGATCGTTAATCAAAGGACAAAGTTCAAACTTCTCAAGTTGTTATTTAATTAATAATAAGTAGGTACAAAGTCCGAAGGTACTGTCTATCTCACACCTACAAGTTTAAACTGTTTTACCGATTGCCATTGAAATCACTTACAAGTAATCAATTTTATACGGAATGAAATTTTTTTTTAAGTTTCGCCTTACACAACACCCATGAGTCTGTAAAAAACAAACAAACGTGGCATTATATGTTTTTAAGTATGATTTCAATTTATACGTCACAAATTAAAATGTTGTTTATTATAAATGCGACAATATTATTAAGTAGTGCATCCAGAGAAATAACATATTATTTATTTTGCAGAGAACCTCGACTTCTATACACTGCGGGTAAAACAACCACGGAAGAAAAGCAGGCTCTAGCAACAGTAATAGCTCACGAATTCTCTCACCAGTGGTTCGGTAATTTAATTACTTGCGAATGGTGGAATTATATCTGGTTGAATGAAGGTTTTGCTACTTTCTTCCAATATTATATTTCTGATAAGGCTGTTCCAAAACTGGTACGTATATAAAACATTAAGTATTTTTAATTTCGAGAGTTATAATAAGAATTTGTTGGGCATTGTAACGAATTACGAAATAACTATAAAGTGTTAAAGAATTAAGAAATAACTATAAACTATAAATTAGAGCTAATGAAAAGACACGATTTAGAATAAACCTTGTAATTTGTTGTATTGCAGTTGCACACAAAAGCCTGACGTTTTGAAGAACTTGTAATATCACTTATCGTAACTAAAACTACCAGCTGAACTAACATTAATTTAAATTGCAGAAAGACGCTCAAGAGTCGTGGCGACTTATGGAACAATTTGTTATTAAAAATGTGCAAGCATCGTCATTCGTTGTTGATGCAAGAAGTAAATCTCGTGCATTGAATCCTAAAACCAATGTACAGACTCCTACCCAAATTCGGAGCTTGTTCGACGACATTGCCTACAAAAAGGGTAAATAAATCCTTTATGTTGTACGATAACGCAATAAGAGTGACGCTGACATTATCCTAATTTGTATTATTCATCTGTTCAGGCGCTTCTATTCTTCATATGATGTACGGTTTCTTAACGGAACCAGTCTTCAAGAAAGGACTTGAAAAATATCTACGTGACCAGTGAGTTTAATATAAATTCATATTTATAAATGTGGAAAACATTCTTAAACATATACATTATATATTATAAACATTGAACAACCCATAATTATTTTCAATAACTATAAATTCACCATTTTTTGTGCGGCGTTTTTATACGTAATTATCATTTAATCAAGTTCATTTGCGTGTTATATTAATTAATATCAATATTGATATGTTCCAGAAATCAATATAACTGATTTTAAAAAAGTTATCAAATAGAAATTGAATATAATAATACCCCACCAACACATAAACGTTATATAAACGTTTAAAACCCGCTTTTCGTTTGTCAACCTGCCGAATGGTTTGTTTCTCTAACGACCTGAACGTCTTGTGGAACAAGAAGTTCAAAGACGTTGCATGTACGTTTCAGAAACGTTGAGATCCAAACCTTGCTTCTTCTCCCTGCATAGAGGGCGTATCCATGCCACACTATACGTATTGCGAATTGTAAATCGCGAATCGGAATTGAGCCAATCAGATCCGAGGCTGTCTTTGATTGGCTGAATTAAGATCCGCATCCGCAATACGTAAGCTGCGTTCGGGGAGATATTAACGCTATGAGCGTGCTCTATCCTTATTACTTGCGAACGTTGAACAAGGACAGAGTACATACGCTCATAGCGCTAAATAGCGTCTCCCCGAACGCAGCCGTAATGTGACACGGACTTAACATTTTTAAGATAAAAATTAAAAATTTTTTTGTCTGAAGATTTTTGACTGAAACAGTTTTGTATGATTCGATGTAATTCTAGCCTATATGTTTTATTTTTTGTGAAACACGTTTCCAAGAAACGTTATGTGACAAACGTTCGTAAAACGTTTTCGCAATAACCAAACGATGAGCAAACGTTTGACTCGGTGGACATTTGCACGATTGGTGAACGAAAACGTTCGAACGTTCTTGAAACGCTTATATAACGTTTATGTGTTGGTGGGGTATAAACATGTATTTTAAGTTTTAATAATTATTCTCTGAATTTTTATTTGTAACAATTACTGGACATAATCGTAGTCGTGTGCAGCGTTTAAAGTGAGATAACAAAATAATCATACAACTTCTTGATTTTAGCATGGGCGACTCTGTTAATTCTGACAATTTCTTTAATGATGTCGAGAACTCCGATAAGAAAACCGTGGAAGAGTATTTGCCGAAAAAATCTACACTTAAAAGTGTTATGGACAATTGGGTAAACGAACCTGGATATCCTGTTATCACCGCCACATGGGACAACACAACAGCTGGTGTACTTAATATAACGCAGGAACGATTTTTCTTAGTGAAATCAGCGAAAAAGAGTAAAACTCAGTGGTATATACCTATCAATTATGTAACAGAACAGTCGCCCAGAGAAATTATGCCCGCGGATAAAAAAGATCGCTGGATGATACCCGAAGAATCTAAATCATTCAACCAATTGAATAACTCGATATGGATACTTTTCAACAAGGATCAAACAGGTGCGTACGATCAATGCTACCTTTACATTCATTGTTCAACGATATGTTCGTCTGTTCATCATCAATTAACCTGATTATTTTAATACTAACATTACTCGCAAATGTCTTTCAAGTGACAGAGCGCATTGAAAACGTATTTCCATAAAAATAAATTAAGTCGCATCTTGCTTTAAAGTAAATAGATGTTTGTATGTTATTATAAAATATTCTTCAATTATTTAATATGTTCGATATACTTGCCTTTTCCATGAATCTTTTATGTAATAAAATTATGCCTCGTACACAACAATGTAAAACAAATAATATGATTAATTTACTTTATTACATTTGTTACTTACGCTTCTTTTAATCATAATCATGATTACATACATAAGAGCAAATTTATTGCGAAGACGATGATTAAAACTTGAGTACGATTCCAGAATATCAAATAATAATTTTTCACAGGATACTATCGTGTAAATTATGACGTTGAAAACTGGCAGCGTTTAGCGACGTATTTAAACACGAAAGATTACGTGAATATAAGCGCGGTTAACCGTGCCCAATTGATCGACGATGCATTAAATCTCGCGCGTGCAGGACACTTGGAGTATAAGACTGCCTTGCAAGTTACATTGTATCTGAACAGGGAGACCGATTATATTCCGTGGTATGCCGCTGTCAGAGCTTTCAATTATTTGGACACTGTATTACTGGGCGGGAATAGCTACACAGCATATCATGTAAGTTAATCAATAAGAAATGCGTGATGTTATAATCACAGATACATGTTTTAGTAGTAAGACAAAGCGAAACGTTTGCGAGTCTAGTTCTAATGCATTACTGAATTCCAGAAATACGTAGCTAGTAAGATACAAGCTTTCTCAACGAGTGCCAACTACACTGGTACGGAAGACGGTGACCATATAAATAAACTTTCCAAAGTGTTGGCATTAAACACGGCTTGTAAATACGGATTGAAGGACTGCGTGGAGTTTGTTGATGAAAAGCTCAAGGAATGGTTAGAGAAGAAGGATGAGGAAGTTGAAAAGAAGTAAGTCCACGAAAATTTGCTACTAGTTTCATAAATCTGCAGTTGCTCTCCAAAAGTCAATCAGTGGATTATTACTGAAAACAGTGAATATTCACTGATTCACAGTTATAATGCACTGATTGACTTTTAGATAGTACGATTACATTATATCTAACAATTATATCTAACAGATTTCGGCTTCAATTGTGAATTCATTGTACAGTCTATGGAATATGACACATAAAAAATACAATTACAATGTACATTATTCTAGAATCATTTCAAAGTTCTCTGTGTGTTGCAAACCAGAATACGTGTACCTACAAATATATGAAAGTGATGCAAGTTTTTTGTTATCATGCGTATCTAATCTCTACAAATTGTGATAATTGCTGATTGCGCATTTTCAGCCTCTCACCAGATCTGAGAAGTGGAATTATCTGCGCGGGATTACGAAAGGCAGAGTATGAAACATGGAATACAACTCTGCAAAAGTACAAATCTAGCAAAGATAAAGATGAACAGGCGGACATTTTGGCCGGTCTTGGTTGCGCGTCCAAGGAAACTGCCCAGAAATTCCTCGCGTTAACTCTTGAGGAGAGTCCTGACGTCGATATTTTCGCTGCGATGAACTCGATATGTGACGGTAATGCCGAAACCTTCGACATCCTCGTGCAATTCATTAACGATAATATTGAAAAGGTCCACAAGGCGTAAGTTGCTTTTCACTGCTTACTTTGATAAAGCACAATGCACCAGAAATAAATTGATAATGATTGACACTTTCTTTACAGAGATAAAGAAGATAACTCGTTGCTCATTGCCCTCCTGAATAAACTTTCTAACAGAGTAGTAACAGCAGAGCAATACAAAGAGGTAATATATTAATCTCTCTGTTATTTGATCTATTATACATTTACAAAATTAAGCGTTTATTGGGAGAATTAATATTTACATTACGCGTATTATAAATTAATGTTTATTATACTTTTGGCAACGTAATTTAATTAATACATCAGAAATTAACATCAAACAGTTAATATTCTTAGTTTTACACGGTCTCAAATTTGAATATTTTTTTTAAAGCTACATTTTCGTGCACCATATGTGAACACGTCAGGTCGTGATAACGTATCTTCTGTGTAACTAAATTTCAGTAATTAGAACCTATGAGATATTTTATTTCTATCTCGTCCTTGATCATGCTCTTGTATCTTATCTCAAAGTGGACTGATTAGGTGTTTCACAATTTTACGAAATATATTGCGTCTCCAAAATGTAGTCCAATGTTATCACCAAGAAATCATTATCAATGTTAGATAATATTTGATACAGAATAATTTAATGATATCAATAACCAATATTAAAGATTCTAGGAAGGCTTTTAAAATAACTGTTTTCGCATTTTAGTTGTCGCTACTCATTCACGGACAGCTGCAGGAGACCGAGAAAGTTGAAGGATTTGTCGTCGCGATACACAATCTTGCTTGGATTAAAACTTATCGGGGAGAAGTTGAAAAATGGATAGTAGATAATTGTAAAGCTTGTGAAAACGCCAAACCAGACTCTGCAAGCTCTATTACTTTGACGTCGTTCATTCTGATTGTTTCATTGTTGTTCACACGATTCTATTGAAATCCATCGTCGCGTGATGTATCTTTAATATCTTCAACAATTGATTAAGTTAATCTTGATCATATGTTCTCGATAAAATCGATGTCGTGTATAACATTTTTCTGCCCTTTCCGACAATAATTCAATTATCGAGACATTATCGGGTTTGATTTTGTAAATGAGAAAAAGATGAAATCGTAGGAAGACCCTGCAGATGTATTATATATTTTTTCCCATCTTTTCATAGCAGTTAAAGTTACAAATTCATAATACGGATGCGCGTTTATTGTTAGTTATAAAGTATTAAGAATATTTTTGATAAATGTGCCGCTGATAAATTACATGATATCACCAATTATAAATTATATACACCGAATAGAGAACCATATCCCGTGTACTGCAAAAATTCAACACCGTATATAATTATGCCGAAAAATTATAAGAACGTATAATATAGTTAACTAATTATATGTACGTAGTACAATTGTAAATATACTGATTGCTCTTTATACCACTTCTATAGTAGCTTATTTAATTTATAATTATTTATAGTCGCAATAAAGATGGAAAAGACGTTAATGTTTTTCGTCAAATTTTGGAAGTGGAAAGACAATTGAGTTGAGATGTTTGCATAGAGATTATTTTTACAAAACTGTCAAGTTATAAGAAGAGTTTTGCAATATATGATCGATTGATTGCTTAGGATGCCACAGCACATCTTAACGTGTCTTTTATAACACTGTCATTTGCTTGATCGTAAAGTGTATTTAATAAAAGATAGGTATATAATTGTTTCAGTTTCTGCGTATGATTCGAAAGGGACACACGAAATGCTCGTCCCCAGTGCAAAGCGTGTAATTCTCTCTCTTTGTCTCTCTTTCATTATTACGCAATTATTCATAAATATAATACTTTACATGGATCGGATATACTTAAAATGATCAAATGATGATAAAATAAACTTTGGTGTAAAACTTTGGTTTCTTCACGACTTAATTGGAGATCGTTTAATTTATACTTTAATTTATATTCTTCCTTGTATTTAAAAATTATAATGTGTGATATAACTCGTCGTGTCATAATAAGGGACATAGGTCAAGCGAGAAAATTATTCATGCCACTAGGCACGTTTAAAATAACAATGGATGACTGTCGATGGAATCTTCACACGGAATACGAGGTATTCATACCGAATGTTATAAATGGGAGACTAAAGTAAATCTCTCTTCATAAGTAGAAACGTTTTACTGTCAAGTAGTAAGATATAAGCCGCTGTAACGTTTTGGCAATTGTATTCTCGCAAGTACATAAAGCAGCAAGGTAATATTTAACGTACACTAACAAGAAATAAAAAAACTGATTACAACGCGAGAATTATCTCGCTGACACTTTGCCCTCAATAATTATCACAAATTCAGATTCAAATATCGATATACATTCTTGATAAGCGCAACATTATCTATATGCGCGTTTCTACATATGTGTATGTATAAACACAAGACCTCCTATTATATGTGTTTGTTTAATAACGTAACATAACTGAAAACAACGAATTTTATTGTGTTTATTAGAATTTATCAGATTACAGTAATAAAACTGCGACATATCGTAAATATACAAATTATAAAATCATTTTTTATTTACAATTTTGTATATACATCTGTTTACGTAGAAATACAAAGATAATTTCTACAATCTCTTTATTCAGAAGTTAAACCGTTAAACTAAGTCGTACAAAATTTTCCCGATAGGAAAATATTTAGAAAATTATGTCGCGGAATCTAAATAAAATTTGGAATGCTGGAATTATGCGTACATATTTCGAACAACATATGCAAAAATGGATACCTTTCATTAAATATTGATAATTATTTGCACAGTGTATTTCTAAATAGTATGTCAGCAAAACAGCAACGTTTTGGCAAACCTTAGCAGAATATTTGCGCAATTTAATTGCTGTGGTGTTACGACGAGCTGCCGCTACGAGGCGTCTCATATTCGTAAGTAAACTTCAGGTGAAACGAGATAAGAGCAGGCTCAGCGGTGAACACGTCCTACGCAAAAACTTTTTTAAACATTTATTAGACTTAACTGTGTCGCTGGGCAACTTTGCTTCTAAATGTCGAAATAATTGTGCATGATTTATCCCCTAAATTAAATTGATCAATGTTTGAGCAAATACCATTTAGAAATGTTATTCCTACAAAACCGTTGCGTTATGGCGAAACACCTTCCCAGACAGCACCTGATATCCCATGGATATCCGTTTCGTGTCCATTTCATGTCGGAATATCCGTGGACTTTATAAAACATCCATAAGATGTCCATTTGTGGACACACTTTGAATATCCCAAAATGAGCATGTTTGAATGTACTCATAGTTCAGAAATTGGACCACGGACATACAGGTCCTTCAACTCATATGGTGGGGGTAGGTCGAATTTTTAAGCCAAAACTCGTTTGTCTCTTGGCCACGAGAGTCACTGCGGTAGGGTAGTAGACAGAGACACAGCGATATAGAAACCGTGATTTCTATATCTGTGTCTCTGTCCTACTACCGCTACTACTCTACCGCAGCGACTCTCGTGGCCAAGAAACAAACGATTTTTGGCTTAAAAATTCGACCTACACCCACCACCAAAATTTGGCTGAGTTGAAGGACCTGTATGCAAGACCGTGAATTGGACCATTAATGGATGTGTCTCTATACGCCATATTGTATACGTCATTTCCAATAGCGCCGTGGACATAGCAATAGCGCTGATGTCGCTCTCTTTCCTGTTCGTTTCATGGTGATGATAGGTGATAATACCAACACGCGATTTTAATCTAAGGTAATCTTTCGTTTATTTGCAATATTACTATAAAATAACGCAATATATAGTTTGTAAAGATAAGTGCACAAACAATTTTAATAATAGTTTTAGTATTTCTATCGTACTTAATGAGAAAACCGTTTCACAAGGTTTTCAAGTTATACATTTACAAAGTCGCTTAAAAAAATATAAGAATATAATAAATTCTCACATCGAGGATATTAATATATTATGAATCTTTCCCTTGAATATTGAATTGCTATTGTTGTGTGTTGTGTGCAATTGAATGAAAATTGAAGTGCTAAAAATATTATTAAACTTGTTTGCGGACATATTTATGCAACATTTCTAAAGAGTTTACGCTAAAAGAAGAGATTCATTATCGAGTCTCAGCATTTTAAAGCACATTTAAAGCATTTATGAGATATTCTCATCCTCATTTAATTGTTTTTTTGCAACAGCGTTGCAAGTCGCAGAACTTGTCATAGTGGACATTTATATTGTCTACAGATTAACAGAATCCGTTTCGTAGCAACTTTGTATGCATGTATATGTCAATCCGACATTTCACTGTTTATATTATTTATATTAATATTTACAATCCTGTATATGATTCCTTTTATCATGTCCATTTTACGTCCATTAAGGGGATGCTGGAGTGATTCTGCACTGTCGCACCTTTTGCACAACTGTCTGTTTCGTGGAAAGATTTGTGTAATACACAAATTAAATGGCACATGTACAGATGATCGAAAGCAGCTTGCTATTTCGGCTAAATTAAAGAACAATATGACATCACTGAAACCAAGTTTGTAAGTCTAATAAAAAATAATAGTGAACAACACACATACTACATGTACTGTATGTATGTGTTGCTCACTATTATTTCTTATTAGACTTACAAATTTAGTTTCAGTGTTGCCATATTGTTCTTTCATTTGGCCGGAATAGCGAGCTGCTTTCGATCTGTACACGTAAGCCATTTAATTTGTATATTACATAAATGTTTCCGCGAACTGACAGTTTTTAGGTTAGAAAGGTGCAAAAGTGCAGAATCACTCCAGCACCCCCTTAAAGGCTGTATATCCATCATGTCCTTTGGACGTCCATGGAATATCCACTGCATTTGTTAGAGATCAGTAATACGTCCACCAAATTCATAAATGGATATACCATAGACGTCTCTTGTATGTTTGAAGGACATAAAACGGATGACTTATGGATATTCTTAATGTCCGTAAAGGATATTTATAGAACGGTTTTCGGGTATCTGTGTGATGTCTGGGTTAGTGCAATCATTGTTGAATGTCCCCATTTTGGATGATACAATTATTGCACAATATTAAAGACATTTTCCTATCGGGGATTATATTGTCAATATTTAACCCTTCTCCTTGAAAATCAATTTATTGAAAAATAATAATTAGAAATAGAAATAAGAATAGATATTGCAATACGATGTAATCGTTTTTTCATTTTCTTATGAATTACATCTCGTGCAGGTATTCGAAAGAAGAGTTAGTATGGCGTTTCTCAAAGTATTAGTAAATGTCGGCCTAATATTCACCGTCATAACGGCTCTTCCTGTTGACGGAAATTCAGAAAATAACTCGAGCGCGACGGTCAATTACCGTTTACCAGACAACGTTGTGCCGGTGCACTACGACATCGAATTAATACCTTACATTGAAGAGGATAATTTTACCTTCGATGGTAAATCTCACATCATAATCGAGGTTCGTCGTGCAACGCGGGACTTAAGTTTGCACGCGTTGGACTTGACGATAAATGAAGAAGTGACGTCAGTGGTCAGAAGTGACATGCTTACCTACGCACCGACCGCTCATAATTATAACAATGAAACACAAATCTTAACCTTTCACTTTGATGACGAGTTACCTCTTGGAATTTACAGTTTATATGTACAATTCGTCGGTATTCTAAACGACGAATTGCATGGCTTCTTCAGAACATCATACATTAACGAAAACGGAGATAAAGTGTGAGTATACAGTTAAAAATTTCAAAGTTTTTAATTATCACGTATTATTTTTATAATAACGTTTATTATATTTGTAATTACCATCACCATAAAGTACCAAAACCTTTTATTTACGTAAGAAATAATACAAAGCATTTAGGCCTATTAGATTTATGGGTGAATGCATGAATGCAACAATTTAGATGCTTGACACTTATAAATATAATTAAACGTTTATCTGTACGTATAATTATTATATGTGTTAATATATTTTATACTTCAATTTTAATTTACAACTATACATTTTTTAAACAAAGGGTTATCTGAAAATTTTTTAAAATATCTGTAACAAAGGTAAATTTTGATAAATAAAAAATTAATTTAAAAATGCTCTACATGATATTACGTTTATTCCAACCATATTATTATTCCAATAAAATCAAACCATCCTGAAAAGGTATGGAGCGTTTACTCTCCTAAAATTTCATTTGAAAGCATCGAATGACACTTGTCGCGGACAGATTACAAGAAACGTATTGATAACACGTCACATATATCACATATATCACATACATACATATATTGTAATTCATAAACCACGTTCACATGTTTTACAAACATTTCATTCGTTTTACTACTGACTGATGAATTTAACCGTTATTGAAAGCGTGTTACATTGAAATGTGATAGGTGGTTGGCCGCAACGCATTTCGAGGCAACTTGGGCGCGACGGGCGTTTCCATGTTGGGACGAGCCGGCATTAAAAGCCACTTTCAATATCTCCATGAAACATCGTCGAAACTACACAGCTGTGTCAAATATGCCGATACGGGATCAATCGAACGACGAAGATGATATGATATGGACACACTTTGACACCACTCCCGTCATGTCCACCTATCTCGTAGCATTTGTAGTGTCCGATTATGTTCGTGTTCCTAACGCAGATGAAACGCTCAACATGTGGTGCAGAGCAGCACTGGCTCCGTATTCAAAATTTGCACAGGAGGTCGCTCAAAAGGCTAGAGAAATATTGATAGAATATACTAACAGCACCTATCAAGTCCCGAAAGTGGATCATTTAGCAGTTCCGGAGCTGACAGCTGGCGCCATGGAAAATTGGGGACTCATTATTTATCGGTAATGCAACGTAATTTAAGAAAAATATTAACAGAATCACTTATATATCTTACCAGATTATTGCATGTTTATTGCTGCTTAATATTATAAAGTTATAAAAATTCTATATAAGAAAATAGGATTATTCGAATCAACTCTTTTCTATGTTTAAACTTTATTTTTCTAAATAGATTTAAATATTTTCCGTCAATTTGCTTCTGAATTTAAAGTAAAATTATTAAGCGATGATAAAGAAGATATAAAATATCTAACACGGAATAAAAATATAATAGAGTTACATATTTGGAAGTGAAAAAAAATAGGGAAAAAAATGCTGTAATCATAAACTGCAAATTATCAAAACCCTAAAACAATTTGCTTTACAAAGTTATAATAGGTGAACATTTTATAGTATTAATTTTTACAAAAATAAAAGGTGTGTAACTACGCAATAAAATAATTTTTAGTGAAAAGGACTTTGCATACAATGAAGAGAAAGATTCGCTGAGTCATAAACAAAATGTAGCAGTGACAGCAGCACATGAAATGGCGCATCAATGGTTTGGAAATTTAGTTAGCCCGTTATGGTGGTCTCACGTGTGGCTAAACGAAGGATTTGCAGCATTTTTCGAAGAACACATTCTCAATGAGGTTGATTTAAACATTGTAACAAATATATCCGCATGCATTTGAACGAATCGTCATTCGAGTGATTGATAGAGTAAAGCAAACAATATAGATTGAAATATCATATACTTATATTCGATTGCAAAATATAAAAATATACAAACACAAATAAATCACTTCTGATATTTTGTGCCAAAAGAACTACCATCAATTATAGATTAAATAATTACTAGTTAAATGAACAATATAATCTAATATTACATTGTTTTTTATTAGTGATAATAATGTTCTGTTAATATTTATTTTATTTTATTAAAACGTTCTTTACGCTACCAGATTTTCAAACAATGGCGAATATTGGACCTATTTCTTGTCACGATTCAGCACTCAAATCTTTATACTGAAATTGAAGATGAGAATGTAATGCCTATTACATTCGAGACCAATAAACCCAAAGAGATTCAATCACTCTTCTCTTCTACCAGTTACAGAAAATGTGAGATTAACTAAACGTAAACGAATCCCTGAGTTTTCAAGCGTATTTGTATAATACATAGTAAGAGAAAGGCAGGAATAACAATAAAAAGAGAATTTACATATTTTTTAGTTCTTTATAGACACAATTGAGTTTGTGTCATAAGGATATGCAATGGAAAAATATGTAATATATTTTAAATTGTAAAAATTATTTTTATTTTTGTCATCACAAGCTTATGGTTATTGTTGTGTTATTTTAACATATTAGTCACGCTTTATAATATTAATTATTGCAGCACCTGCCATACTGCGCATGGTACAGCATACTATTACCGCTGAAGTATTTCGAAACGGTATAATTAAATATATACACAAACAGTAAGTAACATATTTACTTACGTTATAGAAACATTCATTGTAATAACATTATATTTAATTTTTCACTCATTGTATTTAGTATTAAAAGTATAAATTTTTCTATTTTTACTATTCGTGAAAATTAAACTAGTGAAAAATTAAACTAATAATTAAATTACATAGTTTTAGTACACATGTATCTGTATGATCTTCCACGTATGTACATTTATTATTTTACAGTCAATTTGGGTCGGTTACTTCTGACGACTTGTGGAACGCCCTGCAAGCAGCCCTTGATGAATCAAATGTTCCACATAATGCTTACAAATTGAAAGAGGTAATGGATCCCTGGATAAAACAAAAGCATTATCCTCTGGTACGCGTGACCCGAAATTACGAAACTGGCGAAGTAATACTAACGCAAGAACATTTCCGTCCAAAAAGCAAAAATGAGCATACCGATAGCAATAAGTGGTGGATACCTTTAAATTTTGCTACGCAAACAAATCCCGACTTTTCCAATACTCTGCCCACACATTGGCTGAGACCACAAGATAAAAATATAAGTATTGATGGCATCGACCCAGATGATTGGGTTATAGTCAATGTACAACAAATGGGTAAATGTACTTCACAGTATAACAGTAATTTAATTCAAATCGAAAAAATTCATTTCTTGCATCGTAATATTAGTAAAATATTAGTGAAAAGTATTAAAGAACCCTTAGTTATAATTTACATTATAACTAACGATCCATAATAGCAATTTTGGTATAGAACTTGAACATGTGAGAAAAATATTTGACTACATTTCTTCCAAATCTGAAAAAAAATTTAATAAGGTGTACAGACTTACAAAGCTAATTAATTTTTCAACAGGATACTATCGCGTTAATTACGACGATACGAACTGGCGAAAAATTGCGAGTTATCTCAATTCTGACAATTATACAAAAATACACGTGCTTAATCGAGCTCAAATCATTGATGATGCCTATTATCTTATGATAACACAGCATCTCGATATTGAGATGTTTATGGATCTCGCAAATTACCTGTCTCGGGAAACAGATATTGTAGGGTTATATCCTATGTTCAGTGTATTAGAACTCTCATTGGATTTTTACGACTTTCCAGAATCTAATTATTTCAAGGTAAGAAATATTATAATTAATTAATAAAAACGTGTGTATTTATAAAATAAGACAGAATAGTAGGATCATCAAATTAATCTTTTATTTTTACATATAGCAATATATGCTGCGTATTTTGGATGAACTTATCAAAAATATAGGATATGAAGAAGGTCCGGGCGAGGATGATCATACAAAACTTAAGAGATATAAAATTCTAAAATGGGCATGTCATTTTGGACATTCGGAATGCAAAAGAAGGGCCACTGTTAAATTAAATGAATTTCTTGCAGATCCTGTAACACACAAGTAATTTTATCGTAATCACATAAACTTGCAATACATGAGGCAAAATAGTGATAAATTATTTTATAATATACAGGAGAAAAATTACATACTTTTTATTATTTATATAGAGTACCCTTAGACTTAACAAAATGGATGTATTGTAATGGTATAAAGGGAGCCAACGTGTCTACTTGGAATAAAGTAATGGATGTATATTTAATAAATCAAGATTCAGATATATTAGGATACTTGGCATGTTCTGAAAATCCTGATATAATAATCAATTTTATAAATACAAGTGTTTCAAATTACTCCACCGACGATTACTATAGCATTATTACAAATATTGCTGATAAACATTCAGATAACGACGCAGTACTGGACTATATGTTAGCAAATTTAGAAGAAATAACCCCAAAGTATTAATTTCTTTTACTAATTATATGTATTGTATTTTTACCTACTAATTATAAACTTTTTAATCTCTTTTATAGGAATATATATATCGATAAGTCGGAAAAACTACTAAATTTTATTATCCGGAGCGTGCGTTCTCATGAACGATTGGACAAGGTAAATTATCTTATCATATTTTTATTTCTTCATAATTAAATTTATTTACTTCTATCTTCTCATTAATAACTGTGTAAAGTCTAAATTTTGGTATAAAAGTTATTATTTATGCTGTAATCCTTTCCGACTCACCGTTTGATGCATGCAAGGAAACGAGCACGAAATAACGCACCATAGCAAACATAAAAATCATACAAACTGGTCTGCCGTGCTTAATGCACAAGATCAAACACAACAATAAACGAACTAGTATACAGTTAATTATATAGAAAATCAGACATTGTGTGACACCAGCTTTAGTACATTAATTTTACATAAAAAGCAGAAATCTTTTTCTGGCTTAACATCATGAACTCGAATTTTAACAATTATAGAGTACGTAAGAATCTTATATTCTGCCTTATCATTCATTGCGTCTCTTTCTTAAACTTTGTCTGAGAAAAATTTAATTTTACTTTATATTACGTTTTTAACATATCCACAAATCCTGGTTTTGTTTAAAAAAGTGATTTATAGAAAAATATTCTATATCAGATTTTGTTATAAGGTATAACTAAATATGTATAATAATAAAATTGATATTATTTTTTATGTAGATCAAGGAATTCGTGAAAAGTAAATACGAAGACACAAAGTCCAAAAAGATTCAGCACTTGATAGAAAGCCACAAATCTGAACTGACGGATTATTTTAATAAGTTTCCATTCTATTCCAACCGTGTACAGTAAAACAAACTTATCGAGAATTATTTTGCTATCTC